GAGGGCTGAGGTGGACACCCCTTTCCAGCCGTCTCGGGGACGAGAACCCACAGGCGGGACACCTAGGCCGCTGTGAAGAGGTGCCAGGTGGCTGCACGGCCTCCTTCTCCCAGACCACAGGCTGGATGCCAGAAGAACACAAACACAGAAATTGTCCCATGGAGGCACCAGCAACACCGTGGTCCCCAGGGAGCAGGGGATGTCACTCCCTCCAGGCGAGGGACACATGGTACCTCTGTGGACACCAGACAAACCCAAAACAAGGCTCACTTTGCTAAGGTGGAAGGGCTGTCTTCTCCAAAACTGGCCCACTTGGGAGGAGCTTTGGAAGCATTCAGATCCCAGCAGGCTCGCCCAATGGGACAGGTCCTGAATGGAGGCTCACCCAGAGGCCAGTCCCATCCTAGGAGACGTGCGGGGACACGTGGGCCTACTCTGTGTGCCAGGCAAATGGGATGGCACATTAGTAAGAGATGACTCTGGGTAAAGAGGATTTGGGTGTTTCTCTCCTTATTTTTGCGACATTTTATAAATTTAGAGTTATTTCCAAATAAAAAATTGAAATAATTTGGTCTCCACCTGGGCCTACGGAGGGCATTCCCTCGTGAAGCCCCCATCGGCACTCCAAACACCGTCCGTCCACCCACTGTAGCGTGCAGGTATGGACTCCAAGTGCAGAGCACACAGGTTTTGCCCCTCATCAGCCCAGGGAACACGTAGGCTGGAGCAGCGGTGAGACAGTGTGGTGATTACCCACTGTCCGTATTACAGAAAACCTCTAGTAAGTTTCAATCCTATTTCTGCCAAAAATAAGTGAATACAATGAATATGAACAGAAATAACAAAATTCGCTACTCTGGCAGGTTCTTCCCATGGACTGAGCGCCTGCGATGCTGGGGGGAGAGACCCAGATCCAGTGGGACAGCGAGGACGCAGGCGTGCTGAGCACAGCAGCTCCCTGCAAAGACCACCACCAAGCAGAGCACGCTGGGGGATGGGCCCCAGGGCACAGGCCGACGTGTCCTGATGCTTGCGTGACCGTGGACCGTGGCCCACAGCAGCACACTCACAAACACTGTCTGTCACGCACCAAGCACCAGACCCTGGGAGGAGCCTGCGGACACGCACGCCAACACACGCCGTGAGGCACCAGGTCCTTCCCCAGCACTCTGTCTCTTCACTTCAGCTCTCTGGTCAAAACAAATCTGCTCACCAGACGCAATGTGTCCTGCGCCTCCCCCTGCCTCCAGGGAAGAGAGTCCTCGCGGGCTGCAAGGCCTGGGGCTGGGGGAGAAGCTGCAGCCTGGGGAGGACACACTCACAGGATCAGACACCCAGCCCCCCAATCTGAATTCAAACCAAGGAAAGCACAGAGGTCAGGGTAGGTGGGAATGAGAACAGTCCAAGAGCACTTGGGAAGCCCACACTCCAGTGCTTTCTAAGTGGCTGGACGCAAACACCAGCACCTTGCTTTTCCATAGAACACACAATGCGCAACCTGGAGGTTTTAATGCTTCTCTCCAGAGTAGCCGCCGCCTTGAACCCTCTGGAGGCCCTTCCCTGGGGACCCCAACGCCGGCAAGGGCACCACGCCTGCCTGTGGCACTGCATCCAGAGGGCAGCAAACACAGGGCCATGCAGCTGTGGGGTGGCCAGAGCTCCCACCTGCCCGGAAGGGGCAAGCCAGTGCTTCTCTCCTTTCCCCAAACCACGGCCCTACAGAACTTCTCTCAATATAGTCAAATTAACTGCCAGAAACATGGCAAAAAAGACATCCAAAGCTCAAGTCCACACTTCTTACAGTTATATTCAACAAGCGTAAGATTTCTCTGTCAAATGCTACCAAGTACTCAGTCTCCCACGTCTGTCCTCATCTGGCGTCTGGACAGCGGGAGGGCACCTACCAGGGATGCCCCTGCGTTAAGTGAGCTGTGGACCCGATCCTCCACGTCATCATTAACTAACAACTTATTAGGTGTGCACGTGCCCTGGGCCATGCACACATAAATGACCCAAATGGCCAAGAGGACCAGGCTGGTATCAAGACCAACAAAGCACATCAGCCTCTGTTCATTAGAGGCCATTCTCCTCCCTAAATAAAGAGCAGCACCCACCAAAGAGCAACAAAAGAGCACGCTCTGGGAAAACTTAATTCCTCCAAGGGAACTAGAAGGCTACAACTCGCCGAGTCCCTCCTTCTGGCCTGTCCCCCTCTCCAGTGCCCACCTCGTCTGGTTAACCCCCCCAAAAAAGTAGCATGGAACAATGAGGAACCAGAGAAGGATTTCATCGGAAGAGCAGCTACTCGAGGAAAAGGCACCACTCAGAACAGAAAAAGGCCTATAACAGCACAGTCGAAGCGCTGATTTTTCTTGGAAGGCAAGGCAAAAAGGGAGCAGATGGGATTTCCTCTCCAGACTTGACTTTTCCTAACTTCTGCAGTTTCGTATTGTTTCTATGTTAGAAAAATATTCTGATGAAAGTGATGGAAACAAGACAGACAAAGACAGGCACAACTCAGACCTTGGAAGAACACTCAAATAACTCTGTGGCTGCCAGCCACACCGACGGTGGGACCCTCATAGGCAGAAGCGCTAAGAAGCACAATGACCCAGCCCGACTCCACCCACCCCACCCAAGGCAGAGCACAGCACCCCTCCGATCCACCCTCCACCAATCCACCCTCCACCTCCCGCACGCTCCCTAGGAACAGGGCCGCCAGACCAGCCACACCTCAGGCCACGGCTTCAGGACAGTAAGACTAGTGGCTGGCAAGCCCGGACCACACCAGCACCTGCCAAGACAATCCACAGGGTGATCCGACCACGGATTACCCACTGGCTAAGGGTGGCTGGGAGATCTTCCAAGGGTGGGACTGTGGCCCAAAACATCAAGGTCTCCCAAAGTCTGGGCAACCCAGCCGCATGGCCACAAACCCTTACCCAGGTACATCTTTGATCTCTGCTCCAAAGTGAAGCAACAGTTTATTCCTAAATTAGAAAAAGAAAAAAACCAAACACGGGCCAGACTACACCTTTGGTACGTGGTTTAGCCACATCACCTGCTTTGAAATACTTAGGTCCAAAGCATGGGTTTTCTCCTCAGTCAGGCCTGGTCACCTGAGACCCGCGAGCACCCATGTTCTCCAGCTAGAAGTGCTTTCTCCTGCGAATGGCCTAGCAGCCCCCAGCCCAGCCCTTCGTCGGCACCCTGTCAGGAGCAGGTCACCACATGGTGCTGGGCACAGAGAAGCGAGCACGTTGCACTTCTGGCTCCTCAGTTTGTTAGGTCACATGTTTTTCCTTTCATTTACTTCGATTACAGTAAAGCTAAAATTTAGGGCTCTTCAACAGAACCTCTTGGTGCAAATCTCACACTTTCTGCCCCACAGGTAGAAATGCAAGTAAAACTATCTTTTAAAAAGTCTAGCTGAATGACTTGCAAAGAGACACCTTGGTTCCGACAGTGTTTTTTTTCTGGATACGAGGGACGGGCACTTTTATTCACTCTGTCCGAATTTACTGATTCTACAATGAGTATGTACTGCTCTATAAAATTTCAATTTGGGGAAAAAGTCATACTTCTAATTCTTTTTTCTTAAAGACTTATTTTAGAGAGAGAGACTGCATGCGCGGTGGGAGGGGAAGAGAAGCAGACTCCCTGCTGAGCGTGGAGTCCAATGTGGGGCTCGATCCCAGGACCCTGGGATCATGACCTGAGCTGACATCAAGAGTCGGACACTCAACTGACGGAGCCACCCAGGCGTCCCTACTTCTAATTCTTAAGAGATACTAAGTGCTTACTGTCTCTGGAGAAGACAGTATTCCGACTGACACACCCCACTACCTCTTACAACCTAACGAGCGAGCTTGACGCAACTCGTGACACGTTAAAACCAAACTACACTGTTTAATCACAACACGCTGGTAGGCATGAATTCCTTCACATCACAGATACACAGGAAAACAACACAAAAAGCTAATATTCAATACATTTAAGATAACTTTTACTTCTTAGTAATTAAAATATCCCACAAGTCTGTCACTCAGTCTGTAAGACGAACAGGTTCTCTTTCCAGGGGACTCACTTGCGTCCAGGTCACAGCAGTTAAGTCACCAGCTGCTCTCAGGAGCACGGCGATCTGCACCTTCACCTCCCCGTCTCAATGCCGTGTCCTTCACCAAACTGAAAGCCCCATGCCCGGGGACAAAGTGTGCTCCATCCTCAGAGCTCAACAAGTGTCTGAGGGAGCTATCTGCTCTCCCACACCCAGGCTCTGCTACAAAAATCATCAAATCACTCACCTTACACTCTGAGCAAAATACAAAGAGCAAGTCAGTAACGGGACGAACAGACAAAGAGGAGGAAGCAAGTTCAGGGACAAGAGCAGACACAGCTGTATGGGGACCAGCCCCTGGGACACTTGTAAGAGCAAGTCAGGGCCTGACTCCACCACTGCAGACTCCTCCCACACTGCAGACCCCCCACCACCACTGTGGACGCACCCTGACCACTGTGGACCCTCCGGATCACTGAGGACCCTACCACCACCACCGCTGTAGACTGCTCTAAGCCCCTACACCGACCAGCCAATATTCACACCACGAAGGCAAGGGTCAGGAAACCCAGAAAGGCTGTCACACAACAGGAAGGAGACCAGCGCCTCCCTCTACGAAGCTCCCGGCAGCCCCACTCTGATCTCCACTCGTCGCTCACCCTCCCTTTCACTTTACAAGAAGTTATTTTTAAAATGCCCCCCGGTTCCCAAAGTTGGTGGGGGAGCAGAGCGAGGAACAGCTTTTATCGTGTCAAAGGTGGTGGCGCCAGGGACCCAGACCCTAATTCCTGCAGTCGGGAAACTACGGGCTCCGAGGTCCTCACAGCTCAGGGGAGAAGGGCAGTTAGAGAGCCAGGTCAGCAGGGAGTGCCAAGATCCCCAGCTGGCACCCCCCGTCCCAGGCTCCCCCTCCATCCCGTGCCCCACACTTACGCGCACTCACCTCGGAGGGGGGATGTAAGGCGCGCACACAGGCGGCAGGGCCGCACACGGCTCACTCAGCGTCTTCTTGGTCTTTTTTGCTTTCTTCCTGACCTTGGACGTGGACCTGACCGCTTTGACGGAGCTCTCTTTTCGACAGACACCGTTTTTCATTTCGACATCCCCGTAAATGTTCAAAGGCCTCCGCGTACAGCCCGGGGGCGTGTGGACGTCACAGTAAGCGGTCTTTCTGACGGAGAAGGTGGTGGCACCACCAGTGAGCTCCTTCACGGGCTCCATCTTCATGTAGAGGCCGGCCTTCTGGGCACACGTCACGTGGAAGGCGGTGTAGCAGTTTGCCTTGTGGCACTGGATACAGGCACCCACGCCCTTCTGCTTACAGAGGTAGCACGTCAGTTTCCACCGGGCCGGAGGGATGTTCCGCACACCATCGATGGGCTCGATGAACACCGTGTTGGCAAAGCCAACCTCCGGGATCCACAGGGCACACACCACGTGGCCCCAGCGGTCGTCGTCTGTCTTTTTGAAGGCACCTCCCTTGTTCGGGCAGAGCACGCAGTCGGCGGGCCGGGCCCGGGACTGCAGGCAGTGTCGACAGAGCCACTGGCCCTCGGGGATGTAGGGCACCCCGTAGCACTCCTGGTGCACCGCCAGGTTACACATGTCACAGAAGAGAATCACGTTGCTGTTCTGGCACTCGCCGTCCATGCAGATGCAGCACACGGCGTCCTCGTCAATCAGGGACTGCTGCTCCCCCTGCTTCTGGTTCTCACAGTAGGACTCCTTCTCGAAGCGGTCCATCAAGAACTCAAACACGCTCTGGGACACGGCCGAGACGCAGTCGCCCTTCCGCTTCTCGTTGACGATCTCCAGCCAGGCGTAGTCCTCCTCGTCCATGTCGTACTCCACCTCGTTGTCCAGCTCCTCGGCCGACTTCTCGATGAACTTGTAGTACACCGGGGGCCGCCTCGGGGCAGAGGGCGGGCTGTACTCCACGATCCGCACCTTGGGCTCAGGAAGCGCGCTGGCCGACGCCAGTGGGCCGTGGGCACTGGGGACGGCTTCATGTTTCTTTTTGACTCTGTTGTTTTTGTGGCGCTTAGTTCGTAAGCACACGGGCGGCCTCTCACTGTTCTCCTTATTGCTGTTGCACTCGCTCAGTTCTTGAGCGGTGAGGTCATCTTCTAATATGATCTCCAGGGGATCAAAAATGCTGATCCTGTGCAGGCGCCCCTCAATCTCGATCTCCACCATCCTCTGGGCTTGCGCGTAGGTCAGGGTCTCTCGTGTGGGGGAGTGCTTAGTACTGCACGGGGAGGAAGGGTGTCTCGTTGCAGCGCCGCGATGACATCGTCCTTTCCTCCTCATTTGGTACTGACTCCCTACGACAGAGGCAGAGGTCAAGTTAACTCCCTGCAGAAGACACAAGACGAGAAAAACCACCAAATACGCTGGGGGCAGAGCTCACCAACCAGCTCAAACTAAATCAAAACCAAACTCCCAGCTAACATGGCTCCGAGGTTTCCTAAACCACTCATCCCAGGACTCATGATCCTATTTCATGGACCGCGTGGACCAAAAAGACACAACGAGGGGCGCCTGGGTGGCTCAGTTGGTTAAGCGACTGCCTTCGGCTCAGGTCATGATCCTGGAGTCCCGGGATCGAGTCCCGCATCGGGCTCCCTGCTCGTCAGGGAGTCTGCTTCTCCCTCAGACCCTCCCCCCTCTCCTGCTCTCTCTCTCTCTCAAATAAATAAATAAATAAAATCTTTAAAAAAAAAAAATTTTTTTTTTAAATTTTTTCCAAAACTTAAGAATGGGTTAAAGGGGGTGCCTGGGTGGTTCAGTCGGTTAAGCTCCTGACCCTTGATTTCAGCTGAGGTCATGATCTCAGGGTCGTGAGATCGAGCCCTGTGTTGGGCTCCGTGCTCACCCCAGGAGTCTGCTTCTCCCTCTCTCTCTTTGTCCTCCCCCATGCTCTCTGTCTCTCTCCTTCTCAAATAAATAAAATCTTAAAAAAAAAACAGAATGGGTAAAGGGATGGTGGTGGGTCCTTTGGTGGGAGGCTAAACGTTGTCTAGCAGACCTGCCAAGGGAATTTTTTATATTCTCAAGACTGTGCACCTATTTCACTGCTATTTACTATTGATTATGATTTATACAACTCATTAAGGGTAGACTTTAACTTGTAGAAAACAGCTAGATAAAATGATCCCTGTCTGATAGCAATGCAAGTGAATTTTGTCCAGTAGTAAATGATAGAAATTATTTTTGTCTGGTAAAAAAAATATTACAATTAGAAAAGGTTGCCATTTTATGGCTCTGTAGATCATTAACCAATTTTTAATCTAAATTAGCAAGCTTGCTCAAGCAAGCTTGTCTTCAGCTACTACCAACACTTCCTTCTGTCTTCAGACTTTTTTTAAGATTTTATTTATTTGAGAGAGAGAAAGTGAGAGAGAGAGCACAAACAGGGAAGAGGGAGAAGCAGGCTCCCTCCGCTGAGCAGGGAGCCTGACATGGGGCTTGATCCCAGGGCCCTGGGATTATGACCTGAGCCGAAGGCAGATGCTTAACCAAATGAGCCACCCAGGCCCCCCATCTTCAGTCTTTTGAACCAACCTTACCATCATGCTGGTTTCCTCATTAATTATTTAGTCTTAGACACATCCTCACTTTAGAGCTGTAGAGTCATATTTTTAACTTTTTGAAAATAATGTCTTGTAGTCCCTACATCTAGCTGCCTCTCAGCATCCCTCTACAATGTCTAATGGGCATCTCAAACTTAACATGCCTGATACTCAACTCCTGGCCTTCATCCCCAAACTTCCCTCTGTTGCCTTCCCCATCTGTTATGTGTTGAATTGTGTCCCCCAAAAGATATGTTGACATCCTCATCCCCAGTAGCCGTGAACTGGATCTCACATGGAAATAGGATCTTTGCAGATGGTCAAGGTAAGATGAGGTCATTGGGGTGGGTCCTTATCCAACGACTGGTGTCCAAGGAAATTTGCACACGGACACACAGACCATGAGAAGGCCATGTGGACAGAAGCAGAGATTGGAAGGATGCAGCTGTAAGCCCAAGGAAGGCCGAGCCTGACCGCTGCCAGGAGCTGGCACACACAGGGGATGATCCTGCCCCACAGGTTTCAGAGGGAGTGCTGGCCTCTAAGCTATGAGACAATACGTTTCTGTTATTTTAAGTCACCCCGTTTGTGGCCACTTTGTTATGGCAGCCATAGGATACTAATCCACCTTCTCAGTAAATGGTAACTTCATGTTTACTGGGTAAGCCCATCTGATCCATCTGCAAATCTTGTTGGCCCCCATCCAAAACGTGTCTAGAACCAGCCTCGTGTCACCACTTCCTCTGCTACTACCCCAGGGCCAGTCACTATTGCCTCACAACTGGATTATCTCGACTAGTCTCTGTTTCACCTGTGAACCTCTATACTTCTTTCTCGACACAGCAGCCCAAATGACAGTGCCGCTCTGATAGTGCTTAGAACCTTCCAGCGGCTCTCCCTCTCTCTCAGAATAAAAGCCAGAGTCCTCAACCTAACAACCAAAAAACAAACAACCAGATTAAAAATGGGTAAAGGACTTGAGTAGACATTTTCCCAAAAAGACATACAAATGACCAATAAGCAAATGAGAGGATGTACAACATCATTAGTCATTTGGGACATGCAAATCAAAACCACAAAGAGATACCACTTCATACCCACTAGGGTGGCTGGAATCAAAAAGTCAGATAATAAGTGTTGGGGAGGATGTTGCTGGAGGGAATGTAAAAAGGTATAGCTGCTTTGGAAGATGGACAGTTTCCCAAAATGTTAAACATGGAGTTACCATATGACCCAGAAATTCCACTCCTGGTCGTATACCCGGGGGAAATGAAAACACATGTCCATACAGAAACTTGTTCATGAAGATTCATAGCAGTATTATTCACGATAGTCAATAAGTGAAGGTAAACCAATGTCCATCGACTCAGGAATATCGAATGTGATATATCCATGAATGGAACACAAAGGGACGAGGTGCTGAAATGTACTATGTGGAGGAATCTTGAAAACATTATGCAAAGGGGAAGCTGTCAATAGGCCACACTGAATGATCCCATTTATATGAAATGTCCACAATAGGCAAATCTACAGACACAGAAACACAGAAAGCATACTAGTGGTTGCCAGGGCCTCAGGGAAGGGAGAAATGGAGACCGACGTGAGATGGGTCTGGGGTTTCTTTGGAGACGACGATGTTCTAAAACTGACTGTGGTGAGGGTTTCACAACCCTGTGCCTATACTAAAACCCACTAAATTGTACATTTTAAATGAGTGGAATGGTATGGTATGTGAATTATATCTTAAGAAAGCTGTTGTAAAAATATATTGAAGAAATAATTGCATAAGTAAAAATAAAAAGTAACACCAGAAACTTCTGGTTTAAGAGTAGATGATGTGGACTCATCTCTCCCGGCTCATCCAAGTGAATACAACTTTTAAAACCAGGATAATACAGCAATTATAGGAAAAGGGAGGGAGTCTGGCTGGGGACCTGGGATTGAGGAATAACACAGAAGCCTGGAGTCTCCCATGCCCGACCCAGCGGAAGGCAGCCCAGGCCCACTGTCTCCCCATCCTCCCCCCAGCAACTGAGGGCAGCCCAACTATCCTCCCCTGGGGGAACTGGCAGAGATTAGGAAGTACTCTCCTTCCCACAGATCCATCCTTTCGCACAGCCACCTACCAGCTCTGGGCAGCCTAGGGAATCACCTCTGTCCCCACAGACAGCATCAGCAGAATTAAGTGGGAGCTTCAGTGGCACCAGATGAACAAAATAGACCACAGTAGGAATTCAGGGGCTCTAAAAAACTAAACTATCGTTGGAACCACAACCCACAAAAGTAGGCCAGGGTGTGCTGCACTGAAACAGGATGACTGCCTATTAAAATAGAAGGTTTAAATCAGATTCAGAGTCTCCTAACATAATATCCAAGCTGTTTAGATTACAAATTTAAAAATCACTTGTCATACCAAGAACCAGGAAATTCATACTTGACGTAAGAAAAAATAATCCACAGATGCGAATGCTGAGGTGAATGGGATGTTGGAATTACCTGATGGGAACTGCAAAGCAGCCACCACAAAAAGTGCTTCAACAAGTAATCATAAACTACCTTAAAACAAATGAGAAACTAGAAACTCTCAGAAACAAAGAAAAAACAAATGGAAGTTACGGAACTGAAAAATACACTAAAATAAGAAACTCACTGTACAGAGGCTCAACAGCATAATGAATATGACAGAAGAAAGGATCCATGAACCATAAGATAGAACAACAGAAATTACCCAATCTGAGCAATAGAGAGAAAAGAGATTGGAGAAAAAATAATGAAGCCTCAGGAACCCATGGGACTATATAAAAAAAAAATAGATCTAAATTTGTATCATTGGACCCCAGAAAGAGAAGAAAGGGTGTGAAGCTGAAAAAATATTTGAAGAGCTAATGGCAGAAACTTCCCAAATTTGGCAGAAGACCTACACATTCCAGAAGCTGGGCAAATACCAAATAAGATTAACTCGAAGAAATCTGTACCACACACAATAATTGAATTTCTGAAAACTAATGACAATGAAAAAAATCTTGAAAGCAGAGAGAAACAGCACATTGCTTGTAAGAGTAGAACAATGGGAATAACAGTGGGTTTTTCTCGAAAACCACAGAGGCCGGAGGAAGCGGCATATTTCTCAGATGCTGAGAGGAAAGAGCTGTGGATCATGATTCTGCGTCAGGTGAAAACATGCTTCGGGAATGAAAGAGAAATAAAAACATTCCCAGACAAAAACAAAAAAACAAAAGAATTTGACCCTCGCAGGACTACCCTTAAAGAGCACCTAAAGGAAAATCTCCAAAGAGAAAAGAAGTGATAACAGATGGCTTAGAACTTCAGGAAGGAAAGAAAAACAAAGGAGTGGGCAAAATAGAGGTGAGTGTAGTGGACCATCCTTATCATGAGTTTCTTAAATTATATTGCATGGCTGAAGCAAAACTTGTGACTATCTGATGTGGCACTAAATATATATAGGAAATAATTTAAACAATTATATATATACTTTTTTTAAGTGGGGATGGTAAAGGGAGCTAAGTGGAAGTGAGGTTTCTATGCTTCACTCCAAGTGCTAAAATGGAGTCAGTGGCCTGTGACAACTTGTGTGTGTAGTATAATACTAAGAGAGCCCCTAAGAAAGCTATAAAAACCATTATGCACAAAAACACATAAAAATATTGAAACAGAATTCTAAACAATGTTTAAGTATCCCACAGGAAGATAAGAAAAGAGAAAGAGATGAATAAGAAATAGAGGGAATAAACAGAAAACAAATAATAAAATGGCAGACCTAAGCCCTGATATATAAAAAAAATAATAATATTAATGGTCTAAATACACTGCTTAAAACATACAGATTGTCAGAATGGATTAAAAAAAATACAGCCCAGCTGGGATGCCTGGCTGGCTCAGTCAGCAGAGCATGCAACTCTCAATCTCAGGGTCATGAGTTCAAGCCCCATGTTGGTCATGGAGCCTACT